TATATATATATATATATATATATATATACATATATATATATATATATATATAGAAAATGTGAATTTAGAAGACAGACGGAGACAGACACGAAAGACATGTTGTTGACAGCGTCAACTGTTGATATATGAAGCATATTAGGAATGACCAAACAGAAAAACGAAAAAAATAAATACAAAAATCTGTGCGAGGCACCACGTGCTTGTGTTCGGTTTGTAATGTGCGATTACATATGTATTGCATATTAATCAAGACAATCTATCGTAGTAGAAAAAATTGCAAAAAAAATAATAAAATGGACGCTAGGCTTTTCCTCTCCATTTCTAGGGAGAACATAACCTACCGGGTGCTTTGTGTTGCATATTTTTGTGAAAACTAACTGCACCGCATATCAGTCAAGTGTCAGCGCAGATTTATGCAATTTTACTTATGCTCAATCATTCATATGTATACGAGCGCATATATATTGCATTTAGGTGTAGGAATGTATGAAATAGTACTTTTGAATTTGCCTGATGACAATCACAGAGAATCATTTTGTAAATGAAAAAAAAAACCAAATGAAGAATGATTGAAATGATTGAAGATTTTATTTTTATTAAAGCTTAAACAGACACAAAAAACTCGAACGATGAAGCTACTTCATACGTTACTTTATAGCGAGTCAGAAACACAAGAAAAAAAAAAAAAAAACACAAAAACAGCTGTAGCATTAGTTACAGGATATTCCTGTATCCCTTTGATTACGTAGAGAGCGACTAAGTTTCAAGTAAATATGAAACAGCAAATGGTTATGATGCATAAATATATGTATATTATTACAAGACTTACTCTAAAAAAATCCCATGTGGAACCGTGCAATAATGTTCCGTACTGTACTTCAGTTTGCATGGCTAAATCTTCTGGGGAATTAATGGGGGTTACCATGCGCTCGACGGTTAGAAAGGCAGCCAAATTGGCAGTGTATGAGCTGATAAGTATAAGTGTAAAAAACCACCATACAGCACCAACAATACGTCCCGATATTGATCGTGGCGATATATCACAGCCCTGTTGCATGAAGGCAGCCAAAGAAAACCAAAACGAATTCAAGATGCTAAAATCGTTGACAGCAACTGTTGCAGATGTTGGCAATGCACCAGAGCCACCAATATTACTACCCGTACCAATACCGACAACACCACCACCACCACCACCAACACTGCCAGCACCACCACCACCACCTATAACGCCACCTGCCGACGTTGCGGTTATGGAGCCGGGCATCGGCACCCCGCCTATAATACCAGGTGGCTGTTGAGTAGACAGTTGATCGTGATGTGCATGTGAATCTGGTCAATAAAAACAGAAAAGAAAAAACGGGGAAATCATGAAAATTAAATATGCTGTAAATTTTATACTTGGTTGCAGACGTCAAGGTAACAGCATACCAACAAGCATATGCTATCTTGGTTTCAGTGAAAGGATTGAGAAAGAAAGGGAGATATAAAAATAAATATTTGCTTCGATATGCATTTATTCTTGTTTGTATGACAGCAGAGCACCATTGAAATGTTTATTATGTATCATCTATGGCTGCATATTCCCACAGAGTTTTTAGTTTGTATTGGCCAGATGCTCGCCCACCCACACAAATACGTAAACGTACAGAAATATGATTCTGTATGTCAAATGAATAATTCGCCGTTCAAGTATTTTGAATTTTATGCATGCCTATCGCGACCGATGCGTTACATGCACTTTTCCATAGCCACCGCTAAAGGATAAGGGAGCTCGCATTTTGCCAAAGCGTTTGCATCGTTCAGAGAGCGAAGTTTCATGGATTCTATTAAGACTAGATTTTTCTTGATCAATGCTAAATTTTGAATCGATTTACTCTCTCGATGACTCTTTGTCCGCCTGTATGGACACGGCACAGATAATTCTGATCGCAAAAATGCAGGTAGGTTTATATTGAAGACGGGACCAAATCGAGCAAAAGGCGCACCTGTAGTACAATATAAATTGAGAGAACCTTTTTAAAATTATAAAAAAAAAAAAAACGGATTTGTTCTTTTGTTCTTCACCCCTCAAAATACACCGCATATAACGAAAAAAGTTCCATGCATATTCTGTAAGAGATCATCAATGCAATACCTATAAAAAAAATGGAAAAATCGACTTCGCCCAGACAATATAATAGAGTAAAGAAATTTTCTTTTTTTTCTTTTTTTTTTTTTTTAATAAAGATGGGGAGTATAAATGAGTCGGTCGTAGGCGAATATAATTTTCGTACTTGTTTATTTTGTATTTTTCTTGTTTTTTTTTTTTTTGTTTTTTTTTAATAGGACCGCATTCAACTTCCTTAGTACCGGTATTTATCGGGCGCTGCCATGATAGTTGATGTTTTCGTAGTAACAGAGACGGAGAGCATTAACGACAATAGTGCCGTTACCGTTAGTTTTATTGCCAAGAACAAGCAAAGAGTACACACTAAAATTCTTCATCGGTATGAAAGTCTTAATTAAGTGCTTTTCTGTTTATATTCTAACTAACTAACCAATACTTAACTTTCATAGAATTGTGTAGCACTTTTGATTACTGCGGATGTGCACTTATATGAAAGGATTTGCAAAATATTTTGCAACTAATATTATATCGTATTAGGTAACACTATTGCAATTGCAAATTTAATTGCAATCTTTAACTGTTATGCTAAAGTATATGTGATCTCGGCAAAGGAAACACAGCTTTGCTATATTAACATTTAGAGTGTTACTTCCCCTAGCTAATTCGAATAAAATGCTTTTGAGGGTATACAGGATGATAAGCGAAACTCTGGTACAAATGTATACCTCTTGCACTTCCAATTGATTATTTATATCACTAAGCTCAAGGTCGGTGTTTTCAGAAAGACATTAAGAGCTTATCAGATGAAAAAAAAACCATTATTAGCGAAACCCACCTGGAACAATTGATGCCAATGATTCGAAAGTAAAAAAGAAGCCTTAGTACGCCAATACAAACCCATTGAAGACGACAACTGTTAGCCCCACATTGTAAAACTGGTTAAGAAAATTGTTTAAACGCGCAGTCTGAATTTGTTAGCTCGCTTGCCATACGTACGAAACATTGTTGCTTCTGATTATCATTATATTCAATTTATGGTTCATGGCCTGTCTGGGCGACATTGAAATGTGGTACGATTTTTCGTTAGAAAAATTAGTTGCTTTCTACAAACAAGAGCGATATCTAGCAATTGAGTGGGCGTTTTTTCGTTTCACAATAAATTCATATTTTTAGAGAAATTAAAGCGTGCTCTCAATATATAAGGTCTCTCTCTATTACTTTGAGTTTATTTTGCTTTGGGTTATTTTTTTGGGGCGTTCTTTTCTAATTTCTAGTAATTTTTGCAACTTTTAATTACGTAAAAATACGAGCTTCAAAAACGTTTGTATGTCACCAAAATTATTTTTTGTAAGCCATGTCAAGAAAGATGATAGTAGTGAAGTTTTTTTGCACAACATTTTTAACTGTGCGGATTAATTTTGGCTCAATGCTTTCGTTATTAATCGAAATTAGAAAATTAGTTTAGCTATGAAGTTAAAATTTTTCATTAAATATGTTTATTCATGTAAATTGGTTTTTTGCTCGCCGCCCAGGCTATTTTGTAGATATGAGCAGACCGTGACATTTACTGGCAACAGCATTCACACCTTTCGCTAATTGCGTGCGTTAACGTATGACTTCAATAACAATTTATATCGCATGTGAGAAAAAGCATTGACTTATTGAAAACAAAATTCAATGAATGATTCAGTTAATAAAGCACTCAGCATAAGGCAATACTATTCAATAAATCTCTATAATGTATTTTGTCTAAGCAAAATAAAAAATCTTCTTCATACTTTCACATTCAATTCCCTTCATTATAAAAAAACAGATATGCAGTCGATCAGAGTTCAATGAGATAAAAATTTCTGAAAACTCGAATATAAATGATAGTCAAGTAGTGTCAAGTTAAGGAAGGAAGTGTGGAAGATGCGATATTATTTTCAGATTAAGATCTAATAGATATGTATGTGCAAGGCAGTGTATTGCCATTATGAAGAGTAAATTCGGCGCGATTACTCAGTTTTGATTAAGCGCTTTACTTTTATTGCATCAAATATAGACAATAAATATAATGCGGTCCCTTGGAGCCGGCTGCAAGTTAACAATATTTTCTTTTAAACCAGAGTTTTTTTTTCTTTTTTTTTAAATATACAAACGTTCCACGCTTAACGCCTACCATACTGTATCGAAATCGTATTCTACGAAACTTTTTCATTACTCTTAAAATATGGATATAACATAGATCATGGAACGGAGCAAACTTTTAAAATACAAATATTATTACGAAACTTGATCCCATATATATATATATATAAAAAAATACAAAAATTAAAAATGTATTCACTTAAAATCGATTGAAAACACACATACTCGAATTTTTGGGATCGTGTTATATCAAATTTGTGTTATCATAATCGCAGTTTTTGTATCGTATTGTATCGAATTGTAAAGCAAGGGACACCTGTACTCCAACTTTCGGTGTGAGTTGCGCTAGTTTATAGTACTTAAGTTTTTGTTAACAATTTTTCATATTTTTTTAAATATCAAGAATAACTCTTCTCCCGCTACCAATGAAGGATGCAACGCAAATAATTCTTGATTGTATTAAATGAATCTGTTTTAGCTTACTTCAAACTGAAATCGATATGTCGAGTAGCTATTATCCAATACGTTTTTGACTAGAGTAATAGGTGAACATTGAGAAAAAGTCTCTTTGATGAATTTTTATGAACCAATCCTGAATCCTATGCAATAAACACCATCAGCTTTATAGATCTATTTGCAAGTCTTAGCACTTTTTCATCTTTGGGTCAATAACAAAAGGAAAACATAATTCTACACCTGAGTGGCAACGAATGCGAAATTTAAAAGCCGCGAGTACCCAACTACTATAATTGATGTGATATGTCAAAACAAGTGATCATCACAGTGGGAGGAAGCGTTTAAAGCAATCAAACCGTTAAGTGTACATATATATACCTGCAAACATCGAAACTACCTTCCCACAAATAAAAGTTTTTTTTTTTTTGTTTACGTTGGTCAACACTGAAGTACTAGTAAGTAATATGTCTCAATAGATAAGCGCGTATATATATTTGCAACGCATGCTACTTTTATAAATAATTTTGACTTTTCTTTATCCCATGGTAGCAGGCAGACAAAACAGTGCCGAGCGCATTAAAATGCGCGCATATCGTCTCTCGCACTTCGCTAGTGCTTCGATTTGTCTTTTTAAATTGTGTTCGTGTGATAATGCGAATCCCCTGCTCTTTCCCTTATCCTATCGCATTCAATGCGGTCAACAATATTTGGAGTAAATCTTCGATCGTACCATAAGTTTTATGTTCCCGTTACATTAAAGTAAGTCGAGGTCGTTAAGAGGTAGATGTTTTTATAAGCAGACAAATATATCCACCTTGTTTACTGTTGCAAATTGCCGCGGATGTTTCTTCGAAGGAAACGGTTGATTCATCAATCTCAAGGTTAAATCAAATTTCTATAAATGCTTGTAGCGACTAGCCGATCAAAGTGGGACAGTTAGGTAAAGAATTTTCGTGAGTCATTTTTGGAACGCAGCTTTTCTTACGCTATTCTCGGCGTGCGTAACGTGTACCTTTTCATGAATTTGTGAGGAGGATTTAATTTTTGAAAACAAAAATCCTAAATAGACAGAAACCGCTTTTATCTCTCTTATATTCAAACTAGAACTAAACTTCCTACATATCAGGGATTTCGGTAAACAAACTTTTCAAATGCTGCCAATAAGTTATATCTCTGTGAGCATTTTTTTGATGTATTTAATATGAGCATTAAAAAGTTTTCATTTTCTGATTTAGTTTGAAAACAGGAATCGAATAAAACTATATTGCGCCACTTAGAGCCGCTAAAATTGATAAGCAGTATGTAACTTAGGAGACATGGACTATTTTCAGAGTCCCATCGTGAAAGTCTACGAGTATTATTTGCATCGTTGTATTATTATATCGTTTATTGAATGAACAATGTGGAAACTTTGATTTCATACTACGTGGCTTGTTCATGATCTTGTTTTAACAAATCATTGTACACACAGCAGTGTACATTGTCTTATTTCTGATTTTATGATCTTGACGCTTGATGTTTGCTGATATCGAATTTTTATCGGCAAATGATCGAACGTCATAGGCAAACTACAGCTCTTATGACATTTTATGCCAGCCTTGATATTAACCAGTATTATCAATTCTTACTATATTTTGTTAGCGTTACTGTTGTTGCAAGAATTTAATCCATATTCGAATACATATTTGAAAATCGTTTAATTATATTAAATTCTATTCAATGTTTTTCTATATCAAAAAGCACATATAACTTATGTAATTATGTGAATACGCTTTTTGCATATGATGTAAATATTTACATATATATACGGTTGGAAGTTCATGGAGTAATATGTTTTTTGCTCTACCAGCATACCAACGTCAAACATGATTGATTTGAATTTTTGATATTTTCTTTATTTGTTATCGTATGTTTAGGGAACCAGAGCAGCATAAAATAGAACAAAGCAGAGCAGAGGGATTCATGTTCATGTATATTTGCATGAGTAAGTATGCGCTTTGAGCTATTTGCACATACACATATATATGTGCGATTTCTCCCTATTAAAGCCCATAACTTTTGTTGATGCAGTGGAGTACAAAAGAGCAACAAAAAAAAAAAAAAAAACAAGAAAAATAAAAATAAAATGAATAAAAATTTAATTTTCTTTAACAAATTGATGTAAAGAGTCTGTCAATAAATGTTTGCACATGTGCCGTATGTTGCTACTTGGAAGTCACTTTAATCTTCAAATAGAGAAAAATGAGGATTTTATGTAAAAACCCCTTAGAGCATAGTTTTAAAGAACGTTTACTGAACTATGCGACTTAATTTAACGACTTTTTCTTCAGATTTCATGCAAACGAGAGCAGACCACTAAGAAATCTGTTGGCCTTCAACGATATCCTTTCATATTAAAACTGATGCTATTGCAAGTGAAATCATTAGATTTCGACAATTCTTCTTTTTCTTATCACTCACTTCTCCAGATATATATGCAGAGGAAAAGACTTGATTCATTTCGTTCATAGCTGAAAGGCGATATTGGTTATCCCTTTGCTAGATTCAGAAATGGATATCGGCGATCGCACCAAGTATGCGATTTCCAAATAACGTCGTCTCTCACCTCGATGCCTTCGTTGTCCGTGAGATACATCACACCGTCTTGATGAACTCACCGGCTATAGATATGTAATTATTTGAGTTTGTTTTGCATTGGCCAGTCATGCGAGAAAGATATGGCAATGAAATACGTTGCTATTCGGATTCTAGTTGAAAGCTATCCTGATGAAATAATGACACGAATATGTTCTTCGGTCAAAGTGATCGGGCTTAAATTGAAGTTACACGGCAGTTGCCTAAGGCCTACAGAAATGTCAAGTTTATTGCTTGATCGTTGAGTTCAGATGGTCGTAGTCTCTTCCTTGCCTTCGCTAATGTTACTTATTGAACTGTATTTAAGCTAACTACAACTAGAAACTGCCGTAAATAATATGGCATAACCTTATTGTAAGCAAATGATTTGAGCCCTGCCTCAATGACAACTGTGTGCAGTTTCGAGTCGACATTGCTGTAGAGGGTCGTCCTTCCGTCACATTTGCGTTTGCGAACATGGCACGAGCAGCCAAGTAACGACAAGAAGTCCTCAAGAAAATATTAAATATGTGAATTTAGGTCTGTCGATTTTGGTATAGAAATTGGTCAGATCTGGTGTGAATATATATACCTATTCATTTAACGGTACGCTTTACTTTACTATACTATACATTTTTCTTGTTTTAATATGTGATTTAATTAAAGAACTTTACGATAGTCGAGCATATAACTAACTAATAAGAGTATAATGAAATGTGCGTGGAAATGTTTAAAATGTTCTATTTTACGATGCGGTAATTAGGACTAACAAGCACATAAAAACTTTGCTAATGCAAATGTTAAGTCAAGAGCGAAGGAAAAGTGCAGTCAATAAAGTTTCCTCGGTGTAAATACTTGACAAGAATTTCAATAAAAAAAAATATTGAATACCAGCAGCAAATTAATTGTTAATTATTGTTAAATTTTATTTTATTTTTCTTATTTTCATATCATTTACGTTTTATAATTTTCTTGCTTTTTGTTTTTGTATATTTTACTTACCTGTCTGATATTGCACCACACGCCATTCATACGGCGAGAAACGTGAAACAAAGAAGAGCACAATACTCACACCAATGTAGCTGAATATAACGCTCACCTGGATATATTATATAGCGGAAGAGAAGTAAAGAAGAAGAAGAGAAATAAAAAGAGTCGGAAGAAAAAAAGAGAAAAAAAATCGGAAGTCTTTGAATATTTTCATAAAATTGTTTTCGAATAATGCCTTTGTTATGTTGTTGTCGCTTTTATTATTATTTCCTATTGAAAATCTTTAAATTAGCGAAGCATTAACAAGATACGGGTTCCTGCTTTAGATTACCACGACAACAAAAAACTGTATAATGACTTAACTAGAGACCAGACGTTGGAAGGGAAAGCGGTGCGCTTTACCTTGTGTGATCCGTTGAACATAAAGTAAATGTTGGTAAACTTGATATGACACCTAAAGGAAAACTACCCAAAAAAAAAAAAGTAAATAAATAAAAAAAAAAATAAAAAAAATAAAAGTAAAAAAAAAAAAAAAAAAATGGCATGAAAAACCAACAAGCAGTGAATAGAAACGATTGAATAAAGCGTTGAAGCAAACTTCGCTGCTAAAACGTGTTTAGGGAAATTTTTCTAGTTCTTTTTCGCAGTTCTTTACAATATCATAAAACCCGATAATTGTATATGTGTCGGTAACATTTTTAGAGTTTGCACACAAAAAAAAGAAGCAATTCAAAAGGATTGCGAATAGTGGGGAAATGAAAATTTGAACACTTTGTTAGTGTAAATAAGTAAAAAATTTACATCTGCCATGGAACGACTGCATATACCATAGCCAACGTATTTATAAGAATTGCAAAGCTTTTTGTGAACGGTGGACGTGGTCAATTATAATGTTTTTTCGCCGCGCGTTTAAGTGTCTCTGGTAAATATTTGAATCAAATTTTAGATCGATCTTTATAGACCAGTCGCGTTCGCTTGTACGTTTAGTTTATAACTTCAACATAATCGCAAGCATATAGTTTTCCATGCGAACTAATCAACGAAACGCACACGTTAAATGCTTTGAAAACCTTACGCTGATAAAGGATATATGCGTCTTTTGACATATAATTCTGGATCCTACAAGTAGAAAAGCTCTAATCTAATACAGAGATATATGGTCTCGTTGACCGTAGATCTAACTAGAGACATATTACTGAATTTTGAACGTTTTGAATTTTACTGCATTTACTGCACCGGCATTTTTAGGAAACATCAACAACGTATATAATTTTTTCTCTTCCTCGTCCCCGCCGTCCTTTCATGATGGGATAATAAAGAATGTATGTAATTTCCGGGGTCACTAGTGATAGGTTCACTTTTTGCAATACCGATCGATTTGGAATTATTTTCGAATCGACTTAAACGCTTTTTTTATCCACGGAGGAAGGTTCTTTTAGATAGATTGAACCGGACACATTTTGCGATCGCTGCCACACGTAACGGCGTACTTTAATTAAGAAGTCAGTTAAATAAAAAAAAATTACAATTTTTCGCGCATAAAACTGACGTGAGCAATCTAGACCCCACGTGCGGGCTATTGGATATGTTCCATATAAGAATTAATGATAGCAACGTTGGACCACGCAGGCCTATTTTTCCGATTGTACTCTGTATAAAAATTCGCATGTAGAGTAAGCCTTCATATAGTAAAACGGTCTAATCTTTAACATTTTATGTCGGAAATTAGTCTATAATGGCAATCTGGCGTACAAATTGATTATACCAAATTTGCACCAAGGTAGATCGATTAACTGGATTCTGCCCATGATATCGCAACAATTTAGTTTAATTGAATCGCTATCAAACATACCCATGTTTTGATCGTTGATCGCTACTTCTCAGTTTCAGTAGCTTCTGGGCTCTACCGGAATATTTTATGAAACTATTTTCTTGCCGTTCCCCTGCATATTGTTTTCATTGGCAATCCGCTTTATTCTGTGCCCATTACGATATCAGCCTATTAATGTGGCTTTCTGGTACACCACGATTCAGGATCTACCACGGCCCCCGAATATCCAAGCAGTTAGGTGCACATCAGTGTCTGAAGGGTAGCCTAGATGTTGTCATTCATCTCCTTAGGGACTTTAAGGCGGCCTGGCTGTCAGAGTATATGCTGACCCGCTCTCTCCTCCACTGCTTTCTTAAGCATTCAGATGCACACGCGATGATTGCGTAGACTTCTGATTGGAATATGGAGAGATTATGCCCCATAGGTATGGTTTTCTTGAAACTCGGTGCACAAATCCCAGCCGCAGTTTCACCATTTTCCAATTTTGAACCGTTGACGTACCATTTCCTTGATTCCACCCGGGATTTAAAAGCTTGCCCATCACAATACGTTCTCGGTGGTATGGTCACATTGATTCGGTGGGATAATATAAGCTTTACAACACAATGGTCCGATATCTTGACGAAAGCTTGGTTCGTGAAGTTTTAATCTGTCGAGATTCGGCAGTCTGAGCGCGCTCATCCAAGATTCTTTTTCTAAAGCCAGAGGAAGAGGTGTGATGCCCAGCAGTGTTTCTAGGGCACTCACGGGGCAGAATACCATCGCTCTGACAATTCCAATGCACACGAGACGGTGGGTTTTATTTAATATCGTCGCGGTTGTTTTTGCTTCACCTCAGACCACCAGGCCAAAGCTGCGTAGGTTAGCATGGGAAGGATTACGATGGTATAAGCCCGTAAATCATTTTTGGGGATATACCCGATGTTTTGCCATAAAGGTGGTGACAGGCAAAGAGTGCTCTGGCCGCGTTTTCTGTTCGCCGTCTTACATGAGGATTCCAGGTTAAGACTTTGCCAGAGTAGGCACCCAGATATTTCACCTCATTTGAATAGTCAAGGACCACATCCTATACGTGGACGTTGTCCAATGGTAATTCCCTCTTTTTCGAGAAGGGCACCAGGACCACCCACGTGATACTCAAGGCCATGGTCGAAAGGTTCGATATATGGGGCTTTGTGACGTACTTTATGACCGAGGTGACCCGGTAAATAAAACAGGAACGAAACAGTGGATGGATAGAAGAGGTAGTGGAAATCAATTTATAATATTTCATCATTTACTAAGATTCCAACAGGCGTAGTGCCACTGTCATGTGACGCCTAACGGTGACCCAAAGATAGTTGGTGTTAGAAGAAGTGTAAGTAGAGATAATACGTAGGCGTTATAGGTCGCAAGTCGTGAATGCTCTTGGTACGGGCCGTAAAAATTCCTATCCCCACCACCTAGGAAGGCAAAACAAAAAAAAAAAAATGCACATTTGTGTATCTCGTGTACTTTGACCAGGCCAATAGGGTCTTTTGAGTATTTTCTTTTTGCAGTTATCCTTCTCCTTTCTACGAGTTAAGTATGCGTGGCTGGCGGAGGTTTTGTTCCGTCGCTTGCGATTGTGTTCGATTGCGATTCGCGCTGATTTGTTATCCAATTGTAAGCAGCAATGCTGCTACGGTATCTTTATTATACATTTTCGAGAGAGTTTCCTATAGGAGAAGTCTAATGGTTCTTTGTCCATCTGTCGTCTATTAGCAGAACTCCCGGAACAAAGGTTGAAAATTGAGATGGTTGTCTAAGATTCTCCCTATTTATTCCTTTTTCACAAATATAGTTCGAACTTGGAGACAATTCCAATTTCTTGGCAAAACACGCTTTCCGAAATCATAGTTGATAATTAACGAAATGATGAATTCAACATTATAAGTTGCTTTATTTTAAAACTAATTCCATGATTTACATTTTAATGTTACGTAGTTTACACTATAATGCTTAAAAGATATTCTAAGCAAACTTAATACAATGACTTGTTGTTGTCTAGGTTTTTGTTGTAATTATACGGGTTGTAGCCGTGCAAAGTCAACTATCACGTACCTTGCTCGATTTTTAATCTATCTCCTTTACAAAATAACAAAAATTGTATGTTGTTGGGTTGTCTCTCATGAAAATCCGTTAAGGGTTGGGGCTATGAAAAAGCGACCTATGCAGTCCAAGTTTGTTGCAGCATATTTATTTTTCAAAGCGATAAATTGTATCAATTTTTACTGTAAGAGGTTAAGATTTCGACTTTGTTGTTATATAGACGATTTTTTCGATAAATGCAACGAATGAAAATCTTCCTTTTATATAATGATTATGATATATTTTTAGAAATAAGGGTTTCATAGATATGTTGATTGATCATAAAAATGGCCAGATCTGATCGATTTTCAGTAACATACATATTTGGACCAAATTTGGTCGATAGGCCTTAAAAGGTGTCATCCGTGCGTTGAAACGCGAAAATAGAAACGGATCGAAAAATAATTCTGAATCGATTGGTACAATCGAATAAAATAAGCTACAAATTATGTCAAGCGCCTTTGGATGCTGCATACACCTGCACAATAATAGTGTAACCGTTCTACAAACGTCGCAAGGTATTAGAACATATAAAGAGTAGAAAAATTCTCTTTTGCTATATACGAAAAATTCTCATAACATTTCATAATGAAGCCGTGGAGTTAATGCCTGTTATGTTTTTCGTACTCCATATTGGATTATTAAAGTTGTCCGTAAATGTACGGTAGCTCCAAGAGTACACTTATAGAGGAGGGAAATCGTAAATTCTCCAATAAAATTAAAAGACTTAAATTAGCATTAGTTAACGCTGTAAAAAGTTAGATGTTGACCTTTTTTTAAGAATGAAAAAGGAATTAAAAAGGAAAGAAGCAATCATAAAGCAATGGTTGCCTTTATCTATCTAAAGAACTTGTTATCTATAATCATGAAATGAACAGCTGTTTATCAAGAACATTTACAGTATTACGTGCTTTCATTGTCCTCGGAGAAGAAAACATATTTTTCATTTTGGCGACATAAGAACCAACTCGTAAAGAAATTGTTTATCTAAGCTAAGAGTAAAAGCGAAAGATTGCAGAGAGGAACGAACATGGAAAACAGATGCGTAAGTTTTTGCACAAAAAAAAAAAAAAAAAAAAAAATAAAAATAAAAAAAAATGGTTTTTATTCTTACATTTATATATTGAAAGGTGCGATTATATTTTTTTAGGCCTCTTAGGTAGCAAGCGACAGCGGAAATTGTGAAAGACAATGTCACAAATCTGCTTTAGTGGTCCCTTCCTGTTGTTTTATGTGCCAGTCACGACTATATCTATTAAGTTAATTGCTACGTCCGTAAAGTATACGATTTAGAAAGTGATTTTACGAACCTAACGGGTAGGGGGACCTGCATTTCAAGCCGGAGATATGGAGATAGCTGAATAAATCTCCTACAAAAGCTCAAGCTATTCGTTAAATGGAGCTATTAATGTGCAGCGAACGTAATTATTATGGCAGTGCATTTTGATGAATATTTTGCGGATAATTTGAAAACTTGGTTTTAATTCAAATGATTAATTAAAGAATAGACAACATTTGTGACATATTAATCTCTAATAAGACGAATGCATTAACGACAAATTCTTATATTCCGATAATATTGTACAAGATTGTTTACAACAATAGGCTTAGCTTTAACATACGTTTTAAATATTTTCTATTTTTATAGCGAGCAGAAATATAGTTCGTTAAGAAATTTACTTAGCACGCGAAAGAAATTTACTTAGGTTAATACATTCCAAGTTACTCTCGTTTACCTACGCGTTCAACTGATTTTCTTTTCACTTGTTTGTGCCGGCAACCATTCGGGCATCGATTCATTGATTCATTTATTTGCACGTACATTCAATCCATTAGTATGTTAAGTTGAGTCGTTCAAATACTTTTACCCGGGCGAGCACTCGTTACTCATACTCTGCATTTCCGTCCACTTGTTCTTTCGTTCGTCGAACCACCTATCACTTTGCCGAACCATTGCTACGTCGTTTTGCCTTTACGTCCCCATTTGTTCTCTTCGTCATTCATTTTTTAGTTTTTGAAATTTTCAATTCTGCAAAAATTTAACAACGACGACAACCTCACAGACGAAATGAGGAAGAAATTGCGAAAATGACGCAATTTGGAAAATCCGAACACATCATCTTCTCAAAGATAATTGAAAGCAAAAAATGATATGACCCAGACCTTGTGCGGGTGTCCCTGTCGGGTTATCAACCGCGTAACTTATGTTGAGCGGAGGTCTGCAAAATTTTTATATATTTGCTTGAGGCGGTGGATACATAAATTTCGATTTAAAGCGATTAGAACTTCTTATCCCGTTTTTTTTTTTTTTTTGTTTCTTGTTTTCATGTTATTTTTCGAAGTGAAAAGTTAGTAAACTTTGGCTATTTTAGTCTATTAAAGTTTTTAAGCTTTCTTTGAGCCAATTTTTGTCTCCCATCAAAATATACTTAAACGTATGTGCAAGAGCATGTATGTACGCTTAACTCAAAACGTAATAAAGTTGTTTAAAAATTCTCTCTTCTTCTCTTTAATTTTTCCTTTCTTATGCCGTACTTAGAAGAAGTTTTAAGTTTTCTCATTTGTATGCAGTAGAATTTTAGTAAAATTGACTTTTTTC